CGGTGGCCTGGAGGCCAGCGTCAATGATGATAGTGCTGCTCCCTTTTGCATGGCTCATCAGGCTCCACTTGCCCTCATGGCCCAGACAGGGACAGAAAAAGAGGCAAAGCTGGCCGGGCGCAGTGGCGCACGCCTGTAATCCCAGCACTTTGAGAGGCCGAGGCGGGTGGATCACGAGGTCAAGAGATCGAGACCATCCTGGTCAACATGGTGAAACCCCATTTCTACCAGAAATACAAAAAATTAGCTGGGCATGGTGGCGCGTGCCTGTAATCCCAGCTACTCAGGAGGCTGAGGCAGGAGAATTGCCTGAACCCAGGAGGCGGAGGTTGCGGTGAGCCGAGATGGCGCCATTGCACTCCAGCCTGAGTAACAAGAGCGAAACTCCATCTCAAAAAAAAAAAAAAAAAAAGAGGCAAAGCTGCTACTGGGGGCCTGATGGCCATGCCAGGGAAGGAGGAGGGAGAGGACCATCCTGTTCTTTCCATTGACAGTTCCAGGACGTGTCATGGTCCCTGGCAAACAGCAGCCCTTAGTAAGTGTGGCACTGAGTGAAATGAGCCCATTGAAGGCTCAAGTCTCCTGCTAGTGCCCTGTGTACCTGAGGACAACTCATTTCACCTCTCTGAACCTCAGTTATCCCACCTGCAAAGATCATAACCTCACACTCTATGTAATTGTCTCAATGAAATGAGATAATGAGTATGAACCCACAGAATGAGCTTCAAAGCACTTTGAACATGTAGGATCTATTTGAAGGTGGAAGGTGGGAGGAGGAAAAGGAGCAGAAAAGATAACTATTGAGTACCGGACTTAATACTAGAGTGATGAATAATTTGTACAACAAATCCCTGTGATAGGAATTTACACATGTCATAAACCTTTACATCTACCTCGAACCTTTCATTTTTTGAAAAAAAAAAAAAAGTGGAGGAGGGGAGAGAGAGAGAGAGAGAGAGAGAGACTCCAGCTGAGGTGAAACAGCAAGACTCTGTCTCTCTTTCTCAAAGAAAAAAAAAAAAAAAAAAGGCCAGTCACCTTGATGGACACCTCACCAGAGAAGATGATATACTCATGGTAAATATGCATATGAAAATGTGCTCCAAATTACATGTTATCAGGAAATACAGATTAAAACACAAAGAGAGAGAGAGAGAGAGAGAAAAGAAAATGGAGGGCATGACAGATTAGAAGACTGCCTCGTGTTTATTTTCAAATACACTAATAGAAACAACTTTCTTATTAACATTCTCATATTCAGTATAGATGGTGCTCTAAGTTGTAATATTATACATTCCTTCATAAACTCAATGAAATTGTTTTCAATCTTTGTGAAAAAATACACATGCCTTTAAATGCTACAATTTATTTCTTATGCAAAAAAATATGTTCATTAAGTGAATTAAACTCCAAATCTCAACTTTCCTGCAGTGTGCTGCATCCTGTGGACATATAATGATAATAATGGTGCTCTGTTCCTTATCTCAATTTGGTGGAAACATCAGTTTATGCTGGCCTCCTAGGTTAGAAGCCCTTTTGAGTGGGGACTGCACATCTGGCATGAGGGAGGAACATCCCCGATGTGTTTGGATATGATGAAGAAGCAGGTACCTTGGATATTATGACAGAGCACTGATGCCTGAGGATGAGAGGAACCCCTGGGGACAAGTGGAAGCAGAAATAAAAAAGATTTTTAATAGAATCATCTACCTCAGCATGTGGCCCCAAAAGACTACACTCCATCCAATACCATGGATCTGGACAAACAATGTAGTGTATTCAGTGGCCCTTTGTGATTTCTGCCTCTTGTAGCAACAATCTTTCTTAATAAACAGCTTCTTGCATCTCACCAAGCACTTGCTGTCTTCCTGAGATGTCAGCACAAGCATCTGGATATCCCAAGATAGACTTATACTTCCCAGTTGAAAACTATACAGTTTATCTGCAAGAATCAAGAAAAGAGAGAGAGAGAGAGAGAGAGAGAGAGAGAGAGAGTGTGTGTGTGTGTGTGTGTGTGTGTGTGTTTGTGCTGAGATGCCCAGAGAGAGAGAAAGAGAGAGACCAGAATTTCTTGCCAGTGGGTGTCTTTCCAACGTAGTTTTATGAGGTTCTGGACAGCTTGACTGGCTGCAGTCCTATTATTATAAAACAGAATTGATTTGCAAGGACTTGAGCCAGGAGAGGGCACACCTGGGAGGCAGCTGTGAGAACAGCACAGAGAAAGGGTGCAAATGCTGAGGTATCTTGAAACATACAGCAGAATAAAGGACTCAGGGCAACCTGACCCAGAGCCAGAGTTTAGTGCTCCCTGATGGGGCTATTGAATTCATCGGGGCCAAGCCAGGTGCCAGCCTTTTTCTTGAGAGAAAAAGGAGGTTCTGTGTGTGTGTGTGGAAAATTGAAGGTCTGAAGAGGAGATGTAGTTAGTGTGTTAAACCTGAAGTTTCACTGAATGATTTAAAGCTGGATTCTCACTGAAATTTCTTTATTGCAACTATTCCAAAAAGATACAAACAATGTAGTGGGACTGAGGTCACTCCTTTCACCTCTTGGTCAGCTGATCTCCTTCATCTCTGTTCCTCTTCACACATCTGCTTCTTTCTTCCATTGCAATTGCCTTTCTCTGATTACATACTTCACACAAGTTCCCACACACAAGTGGTTCAGCTCTAATTTATCACTATCTTTCATGTCTAGAGCCCAACACTGACTAACAATTGTTAAGGTGTTTCTTAGTTCAAATTTTCAACAGAAAAAGATCTGGTCATTAGCCCAGAAAAGGATGGCTGATCTGATCTTACCTACCTTCAGGTGAGGTGTCAATCTTCTCCCATGTACTAGGGTATGGGTAGAAAATTTCATGTGGTTCACAGGCTGAACACTTTAGGAGACCATTGGAAGGGCAGGTGCTTATATAGTAGCTATAGGCAAGGCAGGTAAAGAAGTCCATCTAATTTCCATTCATAACTGATGAAACACACATTTTGCTTTTCCATCTTCTACCTTCCAACAGATGGGTGGATATGGGGGAGATAAAGAGGAGTTTAAAAGATCATGCCCTGTCTGCACAGGACCTAGTCTAGCATCCAAGAAAGGTAACCACAGACTGGTATCACTCAAAGTCAGTCTACAAATCCTCAACCAGCATTTATGTACATGATTCTACATGTATTGTCTTCCTCTGGAAACCACTGAGAAATCCATTCTTGGTAATGTTGAAGCCTAAGGATACTCAGAGATCCTGTGGTAGGTTCTATTTTAAGCCTATACTTTCTGCTACATTGTGGCATGTGAAAATGGAACATAGTTAGACATTAAGGAGGATTCTCCTCCCCTTGGGCCTTTATCTGATCATTTGGAAAATCCTCAGTTAACATGCTATTTCAGTGGTTTGATGGTTCACTTGAAATAACACTCTTGACTTTTAGATAACAATCTTGTACTAAAACACAAAATGGCTCTTTTCAGAAATTTAACTTCAGTCAATTTCGGGGTTCAAGAAAATAGTGGTGTGTGGACTTTTTAAGCTCCCCAAATGAATAAATTGTGTGTAAACTCACTTTATATCCAGCATCAGCTATTTCAGAAAAGAACTGAACCGTCCTATGCCCTTTTTTCTTGTAATTAAGTTTGGCTGCATTGAGGTAGGAATAGTCTGGACTTGGAGGATGTGTTTAAAGGTGGCAATCTAAGGTAAACTCATCCCCCAACCCATGGACAGTCTGAGTATCTTTTTTCCCTACTTTGGAGCTAGAGGCAAAGTGAAGGGAGGAGAGGGTCCACAGGGAGAATTATGGGGAGCACTAGCAACAAACATTGCTGATTTTCACTTTGCCCAGACTATGTGGTCCCTGAAAACTATGGCTGTGGCCTCTGTGCAATGCCATCATGCCAATGTGCAATCATCTATTTTAGAACCTCAGATGGCATCAACTATTTTAGCTCTTGCCCAAGTACAGCTATTGCAGATTCTGGAAGAAGAAAGAGAAGAATAAGACTAATACTTGTATCTTACTGACAAAACAAAACACCTTTAAACCAAAAGGATGATTTATCTGGGCTGAAAATAAAACTCCTGCCTACCGAAGTCTGGTGCAGCTGAGTTATCACTATTTTCATCCTGTAATTTGTTTTATAGGGTACTAATTAACAGGGCAAAGTCTATTGCCAGGAAAGTAAATCACATTTTGCTGTTTTCTTCTTTTATAGCGAAGACACAGACTTGGTCTTTAATTAAAGTGCAAGTTCCAAGGGCACTATCAGCTACTGAAATCGAGAAACATTGGGCAGAAAAGATCACAGCGAAACCTGCTGTGCAGAGTTCAAAAAAGATAATGGGAAAGAAAGGAATTGCACAGGCAACCTCCAAAAGAAGAGATTGTTTTCTTCAGATGTCCCCTTTTTATTCATCTTGTGTCTGCTCCCCATAAATCAGTATTTCTTTCCTGGATCTACTCAACGGAGCATGTATCACAAACAGCCTTTATAAAAACTGGATTTTAGGCCTGGCATGGTGGCTCATGCCTGTAATAACAGCACTTTGGGAGGCCTAGGCGGGTGGATCACTTGAGGTCAGGAGTTCAAGACCAGCCTGACCAATATGGTGAAACCCCATCTCTACAAAAATTAGCTGGGCGTGTTGGCACACACCTATAATCCCAGCTGCTTGGAGGCTGAGGCAGGAGAATCGCTTGAACCCAGGAGACAGAGGTTGCAGTGGGCTGAGATTGTGCCATCTCAATACATAAATAAATGAAAAGTGAACTTATTTTCCCAGATAATTCCTGTTTCGGGAGCAGCACTTTTTTTTTTTTTTTTTTTTTTTTTTTTTTTTTTTTTTTTTTTTTTTTAAGGTAGCTACTCTTCCATGAAACACCCTTGTCCCAACCACCCCCTTCTCGGGGGCTTCTTTTTCGACCTGATCCCTCAGTGATCTTTGACGCTGGGCTTTGCTGCCCGGCAGGTGCCACTCATCCCTCACCCCTCCCCTCCCAGCTCACCCTCTTAGCCGCCCGGTCTCAGGGTCTTCTTCACTCCTTTCTCCCTCTCCTTGTCTCTCCCCTATCCCATTCCTGGAAGTTCTGGACTGGAGGTGGCTGCTCTGGCTTCTCCTCCCTCCCAGGAGCCTCAGATAGTTTTGGGGGCAGAGGGAGTGCGGCGGGGAGGGCACAGGATGGGCTGGCGAGGAGAGTGAGTGCTGGGCTCGCACCAGGAGCCAGGAGCCTGACGTCACCACGCCCTGCCTGTCAATCTCCGGCGCGCGTCGCTCGCAGCCGCCTTTTCTGCCACTAACTGTGTATCTCACTCGCCGAGCCAGCACAGCGACAAGCGCCCGGCGCTCGCCTCCTCCCCGGCCCGACTGCCTCTTGCAGGCAGCTGCTCTGTCCGCGCGGGGAGCTCAGCCCGGCGCCCCGCCTCGGCGCCCATGACCAGCGACTTCCAGAAGTCCTGACGCCCCAGGTAAGCGGCTGAGTTCCCCAGGGAACTTTGAGGATGTGGGGAGAAAAAGGGAGAAAGACCGCCAGGGGACGGGTCTTACAAGAAGCGGAGAAATTGAGCCAACCTTCATTCCAAACCTCCGCTGCCCCATACGCACACCCTAGTCTCTCCTTCAAGACCCCTTTCGCAGAGGTCTCTGGGCTCCAAGGAGCTCCAGGCTTCGCAGTGGCAGAAACTTCGCTTTCAGCACCGCGGACAGCGTCTCCGCTGCCCACCTTTGTGGCGATGCCTTGATCGAACCGCCACTACCCGGGCGGGACTCTCCCAGGATGACACTCCTAGTTTGGTGCACTCGGGTGCGTGTGCAAATACCGGCGCCCTTGAAGTACTGATCCGTGTGCATGTGAGTGCATGTTCTCCTGGTGTGTATCTGCAAAAACTCAGAAGTCCGAGTGGGCATTTCACTCACTCAACAGGTATTAATTTTGGGTTCGCACTTAACCCGTTTCCCCACTCTGCTCTGGGGTCCCGGGGTGGGATGTGCAACTCGCGTGAGGCAATGCTAGAGGAGGGTCTATGTGTAGGGAAGTTTCCTGGCAGCCTCAAGGGTACACCTGACGCCTACACTCCCTCTCTGTGCAGGGTGCAAATCCGGCCGAGATGAACGCGAGCGCCGCCTCGCTCAACGACTCCCAAGTGGTAGTAGTGGCGGCCGAAGGAGCGGCGGCGGCGGCCACAGCAGCAGGGGGGGCGGACACCGGCGAATGGGGACCCCCTGCTGCGGCGGCGGCTCTGGGAGCCGGTGGCGGGGCTAATGGGTCGCTGGAGCTGTCCTCGCAGCTGTCGGCTGGGCCACCGGGACTCCTGCTGCCAGCGGTGAACCCGTGGGACGTGCTCCTGTGCGTGTCGGGGACAGTGATCGCTGGAGAAAATGCGTTGGTGGTGGCCCTCATCGCGTCCACCCCGGCGCTGCGCACGCCCATGTTCGTGCTGGTGGGCAGCCTGGCCACCGCTGACCTGCTGGCGGGCTGTGGCCTCATTCTGCACTTTGTGTTCCAGTACATGGTGCCCTCTGAGACTGTGAGTCTGCTCACGGTGGGCTTCCTCGTGGCCTCCTTCGCCGCCTCTGTCAGCAGCCTGCTGGCCATTACGGTGGACCGCTACCTGTCCCTCTATAACGCGCTCACCTATTACTCGCGCCGGACCCTGTTGGGCGTGCACCTCCTGCTTGCCGCCACCTGGACCGTGTCCCTAGGCCTGGGGCTGCTGCCCGTGCTAGGCTGGAACTGCCTGGCAGAGCGCGCCGCCTGCAGCGTGGTGCGCCCGCTGGCGCGCAGCCACGTGGCACTGCTCTCTGCCGCCTTCTTCGCGGTCTTCGGCATCATGCTGCACCTGTACGTGCGCATCTGCCAGGTGGTCTGGCGCCACGCACACCAGATCGCGCTGCAGCAACACTGCCTGGCACCGCCCCATCTCGCCGCCACCAGAAAGGGCGTAGGTACGCTGGCTGTGGTGCTGGGCACTTTCGGCGCCAGCTGGCTGCCCTTCGCCATCTACTGCGTGGTGGGCAGCCACGAGGACCCGGCGGTCTACACTTACGCCACCCTGCTGCCTGCCACCTACAACTCCATGATCAATCCCATCATCTATGCCTTCCGCAACCAGGAGATCCAGCGCGCCCTGTGGCTCCTGTTCTGCGGCTGTTTCCAGTCCAAAGTGCCCTTTCGTTCCAGGTCCCCCAGCGAGGTCTGAAGGGCTCGCTCCGTGTCCTCTCGCCAACACCACACCCGCAACAAGCTAGCCTTTGGTAAGCTCGGTGTCTGCTGATGAACTGTGAGATCCCAATGCTGTGAGTCTGACTTGGTAAAGAAAAAGAGACTAAAGAGAAATGCAACAAACTCACAAGGACAAAGAGGCTTGTTGGCACTTTACATATACAGTGTATACATGTGTACATATATATACAAATATTTGTATCTTCTGGAGGTGTTCAGGATGTGGAGCTTCCTATTCGGTGAAAAACCAGGAAAATGATATGGTTGTATACTCAAATTTTACATCACATTTGTCAAGCGAAGACATTCCAATACTGCTTAATTATAGCACTTTATTTTTAGCTGCTGAACTGCCAAAACAGTATTGCCATTTTCAAGGGCAGGGAAAAGGGAGTAAAAGGTGTATTTTTGTTGTATGTGATAGAATATTTTGCTGCACATGCATCAACAAATTACAACATATTTTGTACACGAATAAACCCATTATAAGAATGTAATTTGGGGTATGTGACTGACTATAGAACTATTAGAGAACTGAATTATAAGTGTATGAGTGTCCTTCCTTCCTTCCTTCCTACTTTCCTTCCTTCCTTCCTTCCTTCCTCCCTTCCATCCTTCTTTCTTTCTTTTTCTTTCATTCATTCAAGATAGAGCCTCACTCTGTTGTCCAGGTTGGAAATGCAGTGGCACAGTCATAGCTCAGCGCAGCCTCAAACTGCTGAACCCAAGAAACCCTGCCTTAGCCTTCCTAGTAGCTGGGCCTACAGGCATGCCACAGCACCCAGATTACTTTATTTATTTTTTAAAGTTTTTAAAATTTCAATAGTTTTGAGGGTACAGGTGGTTTTTGTTACCTAGATGAATTCTTTAGTGGTGAATTCTGAGATGTTAGTGCACCTGTCACCTGAGCAGTGTACACTGTACCCAATAAATAGCCTTTTATCCCTCACTTCCCTCCCAGCCTCTACCCACTCCATGTCCCCGCAGTCTATTATATCGCTCTGCATGTTTTTATGTCCTCATAGCTTAGCTCCCGCTTATAAGTGAGATCATATGGTATTTGATTTTTCATTCTTGAGTTACTTCACTTAGAATAATGGCCTCCAGTTCCATCCAAGTTGCTGCAAAAGACATCATTTCATTCATTTTTATGGCTGAATAGTATTTCATAGTGTATACGTATCATCTTTTCTTTATCCACTCCTTGGTTGAAGGTACTTAGGTTGGTTCCATAATCCTTGCAATTGCAAGTTTATTATGTAGCATCATTCTCCTGAGAAAACCTTAATGTAAAAAAATCATATGCATTTGCACATTGTTCATAAACTTTCACAGAAATACCAAATTTATACTGTTGTGGTTGGGAGGGAGTGTGCAGTAAGAAAGTAACGTATTTATGTAACAGCATTCACAGGACAACAAAGGGCACTACTCCCTTGGTTACTGGGTTTGGAAAAGAAGTGTCAGAGAATGTCCAAAACTATTTTTTCCTTTTATCCCCTGTGCACTTGTGTATCCTGAAACCACAACTTTCGATTGTAATTTTTCCAGATGGCAAGAATTTTAAAGATTTAAAATTCATGTTGACTTAGTACATTGTTGCTGGCCAGATCTTGTAGTAAAATTCACAGCCTTGTAAAATGAATAAATTCTTCCAATACGGAATTCCAAAATACATACCTCCAACCTCATGAGGCACATTAAATTATATCCAGTATCCTCTCTTGGGGTATTCTAATCTTCAAAAGAGGACACTAAAATCCTTAAGCACTGAACATTCCCATTCCACTGATAGGTGTGAGCCATGATTATTCTTCTCCTTCCCTTCTTACAGGATGATGTGGGGATAAATTGGAGAATATATGAGGGCATGCTCTGAGCCCTCTGTGAATTAATATGCACACCAGCCCAAGTCATTACTACTCTTAGGCCTTAGGAAAATACACACAAGAAAATTTGTTCACAGATTTCACAAATATTTATTGAGTTTTTACTATAATTGAGTTCCTAGACACAATTCTAGGGCTTGGAATATGAAAGTGAAAAAAAAAAAAAAAAAAAAAAAAAAAAAAAAAAAAAACAAGCAAGAAGTCTCTGTACTCCGTAGTGCTACTTTCTAGCGGGGGAGATGGTCTACAAGCAAGCAAGCAAACAAATACATAATGTCATGTTAGGATAAATGCTAGGAAGGAAAACAAAGGAGGATGAGGGGTGGCAAGCTGTGGAGGGTGCTCCAGTAAGGGCAGCCAGGGACGATCTCTCTAAGGAGATAACATCTAGAAGGAAAGCTCAGTGAAGGGAGAGTGAGATGCATGAGCATGCGAGGGAAGAGCTTTCCAGACAGAGGAAGCAGCAAGTATGCAGGCTTCCAGGTGGGAGCATGCACGGCAAGTTCGAGGAACAACAAGAAGTTCAACGTAGCTGGACAAGCTGAGCAAGGGGAAGAGATGGGAGACGGACCTGGGATTGGATCATCTCAAACTTCACAGACCACTCTAGGGACTTGGGTTTTGACCCTGAGTAACATAGAAGTGGCACGATAAGATTTATATTTTTAAAAAATCACTCTAGCTATCCTGTCGAAAATAGTCTCTAGGAGGGTAGAGTGAGAGCAGGAGATAGAGATCTATAAACATAATCCCCGTGAGAAATGACAGCGACTTGGAGCACAGTGTCAGTGGTGGAGATGGTGAGAAATAGTAGGTTCTAGAAATGTGTTGAAGGATGGATGGGATGTGGGGCATGACAGAAAAAAGTTCAGAATTAGTCAAATGAGTGAACGCACGGGACTTTAGTGAGCAAGGAAAACCTGAGGTCTGGGGGCGGGGTACCTTGGGAAGTGTGATGATTAATTTTATGTGTCAACTTGACCAGACAATATGGTACCCAGATATTTGGTCAAACACATTTTGATCATTTGAAGGTCTGAATAGAACAAAAATATTGGTCTTCCCCAAGCAAGAAAGAAATCTTTAG